TGTCTGCTTTGATTCAGAAGTGGGTTGAAGATTGCTTTGGGATCCCGCTGTAAAACCCTGCTACAATTCGCAGAAACCAGGAGTAAAACTCTTAAAGAGGGCAATTATTGAGGGAGCTGGATTAATGATCTGTCATCACAATTTAGCCACATCCGCCACTGACCTTTCACAGAGGGGATGCTCTTGATAAATGTAGTTCATTACCGAGTTCTGACATGAAAACAGAATGGCACTCTGTGTTTCTTGGCAGGCTGATCAATATTTTATCTGCCAAAGCATGCAGAAGTGCTAAACAGGATGAATTACGTAGCTGCCGCAAAACGGAGCAAGAAACAGCATTGCTTGGAGTGAGCGGAGCGTGTAAATGTGACAGTTATTGGCCACACTTTAGTAATCGGACCTAATACACTGGAGTTTTCTTTTACTTTCCTTCTGTCTCATTGTTTTTCTTTGCCTGTCTCTCTGGTTTTTGCATTCAAACAGTGCCAGGCTTCACTGCGTTTGCAAGTGCTTGTTTCTTTAGAGATCTCCCATGGTGTGGAGGGGGAAATCATGGCCTTCCCTGGCCGCGGGGTGTTGCAGTTTGGTTCCTCATGTTCTGCTCCATCCGACATCACAGGGATGCGGCTGCTGCAGGAGCAGGCTTTGGGGATGGGGAGGATGGATTTAATGGTCCATTTCTACAATAAAAATTGCTAGAAATCCCTGTGTTGAGCATGAGAAGTGCATTGAAGTGTTATCCATAGAGCACGGGAGGGAGCTGCACCCTGTGTGAGGTTTGTTTGAAAGTCACCAGTGTTTTCGTCTTAGGGCTGCAAAGTCAGGCACAGAGTTCGCAGGAGGGATGCGGCTGACCTCCAGCAGTGGGATGGGAACAAAAGCAGCCCTGCCCAGAGCATCCTGTCACAGGACAAAACCCATGCAGCTTTTCCTAGGGGAAGCTTGTGTTTGTTGTACAAAGCGTTGCTGTCAAACTGGGTTTGTGTTCAAAAGAGTAGAAGTGATAGAGTCTCTTGAAATGGTGAAGGTGGACTTGTATTTATTTATTTATTGGTAGTTTCTAAGCTGGAATCCAGATATAGTGGTATTATGTTATTAAAGTTCCTGTGAAAAATCCTCACCCTGTGTTAGACGATCAGCATTTTAGTTTTGATGTCTGATGCCGCTGGTATGCCCTTAGGTCTTCTCTTCTCCTGGAGTCAGCAGAATAAATCAGACTGGGATGCTCGTTAAAGATAGAGAAGTAAAACGTGTGCCTTTTTTCTAACCAGCCCTCCAATAAAGTTGAGAAGAAGGATAATCAAGCACAGTGTTATTTTAGGGCATGCAAGACGGAACAGCGGATTCAGCTCACCCCAAATCTGTGTATTCGGCTCTGTGTGTGTGTGACGTCCCGCAGCTGTGTGCTGGGGATGGTGCCCGGAGCAGATCGGTTTTGAGTACAGACAGGGGATGAGCTGTCAGTAGTGCAGCACAGGCGCTGAAAGCACACACAGTGGCATTCCTGCTGTTCACTAACAGGCAGGGAAGAAGTCCTGTGAAACCCCTGTCTGAAGAGCGGCGCTGGTCACCTCCCTGCGTGCGGCTGGGAGGCTTCTGGTTGCAATTGCAAACAGAACCTAAGTCCCCAGGCAGCTCCTAACAAGGAAACCAAGCTGAGACACATCCATTAGCCAGACATACCAGCGTGAGCAGTCTGAGGTGAGATAACCTGTTAATGATGAGCTTATGCTGCAGAGGAAGCTGCTGGGGGTACTTAGCAAAGCGGAGACGAGAGTGGGGATAAGCAAGAAGGCATGCAGCGGCTTTTCTGTGCTTCTTTTTGTTTAACAGCCATGGTTGTAATACCTGAAAGAACAGAACAAGGGGTGGCAATGCTGCCTAAAGGGATGGTATTTAGTAGATAAAGCTGGTAGATCCTATGCACAATGTAAGAAGATTACAAGTGTCACTGACAGCAGGAGAGGGGCTGGTGGGAAGGAGAGAAAGTACAGGGCTGCCCTTTGTGACACCTATGCAATCAGCTCTGAGAAAGGACTGTTACCAGTCTCTGTAGGGAAGATGGGTTAAAACATGAAATAATAATGCCTACTAGAGGAGGGGAAGGATCTTTACTATATAAGAGTTTAGCTGTCCTTTGCATTGGCTTGCCCAATGATTCAAGTTGTTTCTTTGCTTCCTTGCTGGAGCTGGAGGAGCAGTCAGTGGCTTTTGTGAAGTGCCTCCAGCATCTGTTTGGTGGCTGCAATGCCTTGAAGTTGTGTTTAAAACAGCATTAGGTCCGGGTTGCACAGCGAAACATCAGCTCAAACATCCCAAGCATGAACGAGTTTGGCCAGACTTCCTATAAGGTTATACTTTCAGGTCAAACATAATCTGTCCTTTGATCCGGAGTGATTTTCTCCCACTGCAGTGAGATTAAATGTATAAATTAGATGTATATATTTATTGAAAGGTTGGACCAGGTGATGCTTGAGGCCCCTTCCAACCTGGTATTCTGTGATTTCTATGCAAATATGTGTCACCACAACCCTCTGGGGTGTCAGTGGCAGGGGAAGAAGCTCGGAGGTGTGAGCCCCACAGAGCCTGTCACAGTCACACTGTGCAGTGATGCTAAGGGACCCAATTCCAGCAGAGCCGCAGTCATCATTCTCCTGAGGGAAGCGAAGGTAATGAGGTGTTAGAGCAGTTTTGACAGGGGCTGAGGACACCTTCTGACCTTCCAACTGCACTGTGTGCTAACAATGTGTGGAGCTGGAGTTACTGTCTAAATAGGGACCTAATTGTCTTACTGCTGGTTTTCTTTGCACTGGAGTGGCATCACCCTGCCACGTAGGATGTAGCTCTACTGTTTGTCAATGGTCCCTGACCCTAGATACAGCAGTACTGTGGTGGTGGGAGAAGGGTGGTTAGTGAGCTTCTAGCAGGATGTGGGAACTGCAGCCAGAGGTTGTCACCACCTCTGCCCTTCCCGTTTCCTTCATCCCATTCTTCATGCCCATCACATTTGCCTGGAGGCTGCAGCATGGCTTTGACCCTCTGAAATTCCCCAAATGGGCTGCCTTGCAGCCTGGATCAGTGTGTGCTTTTTACAAGAAAAGCAGTTTTGTTTTCAGGCTTTGTTTTCAGAGGATGGGAGAATCAAGGAGGGCTGTGATGCAGTGAAAGCAGATCAACATCTCCTGGCTCCCACCATGCGGCATGGTTGAGAGCCTGGGTGCATCACTGGTCAGGGGGTTGGAACTGGATGAGCTTTAAGGTTCCTTCCAATCCAAACCAGTCTGTGATTCTGTGACATCTGCTCTTTGCTTGTGTTTTGCCATTGCATTAACATGCAATTCATTCTGGAAATTCTGTTTAATACATATAGTGCACATGGACTAATAGTAGCTGAATAGCTTTTTCCTGTAAAATGAGAGTGATCCCACGTGGGACCATGAGCTCTTTGGAGGTTGTTTAGAGGGAAGGAAAAGCTGCTTAATATCCCAGTGAGAAACTCTCAAAACAAGAAGGGTCTGAGTTCAGGGTGGAAAATGAGCCTTGTCTTGCAGTTACTGCTTGTGGAGCAGTAGGGCACTGACCTGACTGGTGAGTGCATGTCCAGCCTCTGTGTCCTCTCACCTTCTCATGTCACAGTGGTTTTGAAGCTGTGAGCACAATATATGAAGGGTTGACAGTCGATGGGTTTGATATGAGAGGAGTGCCTCCCACCTGGAGTCTTAATTGGGTTTTGGTTGGAGTGCGACCAGGCGATGAGAAATGGTGCAGCTCAGCAAGAAAAGGACAGGAACATTGTTGTCAGTGTGCCAGAGCCTTCAGTTGCTGTTCAGAGGATAATGTTTGGAGCCTCTGGGCAGCTGATGTGCAAGGGTGTTGTCCCTTAAACCGAGGTGAGACCAGGCTCCCTTAGAGTTAATCCACCAGTAGGATCAGTGATAGGATTTAAACAAAAAGTTGTTTTTGAAACCACCATTATAGAGAATAAGGACATCTGTGTTAGGGAAAATACATTACAAGACAAGGGCATCTAAGGGGACAGCTGAAGCACGAGGGTGCTCCAGGGTCTCCTCCAAGGCAGAGTCAGCCAGGTTCCTGTTGTGGTCTACACTAAAGCAAACAGGTTTGCACAACAAAGGGCAGTTGCCATCCTTCATTCTGTCAAGCTCTGCTGGACAGCAGTTGAGCAGAAAAGGGCTGTAACATCTTATATATATACCACTTTGGGCATCAGGATGTGGTTTTTCTGTAGAAGGATGCCCTTAAATCAAAGCAAGGTGCACTCCAGGGAAGAGAGGTGGCTGCTGCGAGTGCAGCATGAGCTTTCAGGGTCATGAAGGTTCAATCTGATTCCTCCAACTGAGTCCATGCTGCTTCAGATCAAGGGGCTCGAGGGTTTTTCTGTGATGATAACCTTTTTCCCTGGTCAGGGGCTGAGGAAAGCGCTTATGTCAGTCTGGAGCGGGGTGATGTGCTCAGGCACCAGTGACACCATAGCCACAGGGGCTCCTCAGTGTGCTCCCTCCAGCCATCTGACCACGCTGGGCTGCCTTTAAGGATTCCTTCAGATCAGCCCTGTGTTTGGCACAGGGTGACTCTCAGGTGTACCGTTTATTTCTGTCTGTGGCACTTCCTAAGCATCAGCTCTTCCAAGGTTTATTTTTCACCTTGGAATCCCAGCATAGGTGAATTTAACTTTAGAAAAATGTAGAGCCAGTTTAATAGGGGTAGGGATTACAAAGCTGAGCATGGAAGTCTGTAACTGAAGCCCTGTAATCTGGAAAATAGCATGCTGGAGAGCATCCTTGACAGCAGGATTTAGCAAAACTGCCAGCTATTATAAAAGGTAATGACTTCAGGAGCTCCTCAAGTGCAGAGCTGAGTGATGCTGTACATGCAGACAGCCTGTCTTTGGCTGTGCCCTGTCTTTCCCCTTTAGGAGCTCGGTCCTTTGAAAAGATGAAGGCTAATCTGATGTCCAGTAATGTGGTTTTATCTTGTAGGTGACACCTGTACCATGGCAGACTACAGCCGCCTCAAAAGCATCCTCCTGGACCTGCAGGCTCATCGGCAAAGCCTGCCGAGCATCCCAGCCAAGGACAGAGTATCCCAGAAGCGCTTTTTAGTTGAAGATCTGTTTAAGCACTTGGATGTGAACAGCGATGGGCACCTCAGCAGCTCCGAACTGGCGCAGGTGGGTTTGTTGTTCAGTGACAATGGGATTATGAAGTGGATTGCGTTTTTCATTCAGTGTGAATTGAATGTAACACAGCAGCGCTCTGCTGAGAGCAGTCGTTTGTAACTGTCCGGCCTGGCAGCAGGTAAAGGAGGGAAATCTACTGCAGCATGTGAGCCTCTCTCTGCCTCTCTGGGGAGATGGTGCTGTCTCAAACATTTGAAGCTCCTCTGCAAACAGCAAACATGGCACCATTCCAGCCCCATCCATGCCTCTGAAAACAGATACCCATCCTTGCTGCTAGCCATCATCTTCTGAAGTATTTCCAGCTAGCCAGCTTGGGGAGAATTAATGTGGATTTTTTAGGTGTGTGTAAGTAAGGCAGAAATCTCTTAATTCTTCCTCCCTGCCTTCTGGACCGTGCATTTGCATGTAGTAAGATGACAACAAAGCTGGAATATTTTTTAACAGGTCTGTTTTCCCCAAATCCCCAGCAGGTGCCGGGGATTGAGGTGATGTGCAGAACCTTGTAACGATAGAAAGGGTGGGAGCTGGGAAGAAAACTGTTATCTCTAACGATGGGCATGCTGTGCTGTTGGAATTCATCTAATTGGTAAAGTGAACTGAGCACACAGCCCAGGTACTCAAGCTGATTACTCCGTGTCCTGAACTTGCTCCTTGCACATGCAGAGCTGGTAAAATGGTCCTGTAAATATGAGAAAATGCATTATGCCAGATGCGGGAAGATCTTGTCTTTTCCATATTATTAGAAGCAAATGCCTTTTAACAGCCTTTTGGAAGCCAATACCTGCCTGGGACCTGTGAGCTGCCCCTTCCCACTGTGCTCTGCAGGAGCACCTCATCTGCGCTCATGCTTCCCAGTGAACACGAAGCACGTTGTAGTTGCAGTGTGTAAATGCAAGCTGTGAGCAAGCTGGAGCACAGACACAAGCTCTCTCCTCCCTCAGCTCACTCCTGTGCAGGACACTTTGCTCTGCACTTTAATCCTCAGGCTGTTGACATGATGCATGGTCCTTTGTGCACAACGCAAAGTGTCAGCAGAAGTTCCTTTAGATCTCAGGGCTATGAATATATACAATAGTTCATTTAAATGCAATGATTTTTTTTATAAAGACATGGTAGGTAGAAGAAAACACTTTTATCTGAATTCAAAGCCAGTTTTTGCATAAGTGCCTGTTCTACACTTCCATTTTTCCCCCCTTTTTACATGAAACTTATTCCGTCAGGATATTAAAACACACCTTTCATGGAAATAAGGGTTTGACACCCTGCAAGCCATTACCTTTAGAAGAAACAGCGACCTGCATTTTAAAGGAGCAGGATTCAGTGCTCTAAGGTCTGCTGTAAGGTTACTTTGGGCCCATTTGCAGATGTGCTGGGAGCCCAGGTCTCTCTCACAAGCATAGACCTTGACTACTATCGTTTCAGTTCTTTTCACTGTTAGCAAGACCAGTAAACGTGCTGGTTGGATGGACCACATTAAGTTCAGCCCTCAGCTAGGAGTCCCCTCACCCAAAGAAAAGCCCCACAAAAGCTTGCCACCAGCACTACAGAGCATGATCACCTCTCTAAAGACCTCATGCTGCCCTTGTAAGCCATGGATACTTTTAATCCCTCCCTGAATGATGCTGATCTTGCACCCCTTGGTGGGAGTGTGGTGGATGTCCTGGCTGGGCTGAGGACACACCTGCAGAGCAGCTGCAGGGTCTCACAGCAGTAGTGGTCTCAGTTTATGTGTAGAGTGCTAATTCTTGATTTCTCCTGTTAGCTCAAGCAGCGAGATGATTTTCACGTGCTCCCATGTGACCAGTTTATTCTCCCAATTTTCAGGCGGTTTCCCTTTTAGGCAATGAGGAATAGCTAATTTTCCATGTTACAGTCTTGCCAGGCCTTCTCTTGCTTCGTTAGGCAGCTTTGTTGTTGATTTGGGTTGGCTCTCTGCAACTTCAAAATTCCCCCAAAGATGGGGATTTCATTGCCCAAGGGTAGAGGCAGCTGAAGCGAACGTGGTGCAATGGGATCTCCTCCTCTCTGGCTGCTGCATGAGCTGCTGCCGTGCCTTTTCTTTCTTATATTTAAAGGAAAAAGATTCTCTTGAGCACTATAACCTTGTGTGCAAGGAAAAACACGAGGCAGGTAACGTGCTCTGCTGCAGGAAAAAGGCAGTTTTAAGGCCTTTAGGAGGCTCATTGCAGAAGGACTCACCCCAAAGGAGAAACTGGAAGCAGAGACCCTCTGGGGAGGACAGTCCTGCACTGGGGCAGCTCCTTGCACTGGGAGGTGATGGGGGTCTTTGCCCACTTGATTATTCTCCACAACAGAATTGCTTTAGGCAGCCGATGGTCCATCCCTCTCACTTTAGAGCTGCTTTGCCTCCTGGCTGCTGGCACACCCCATTGAATGCTTTCCCTCTGAACCTGGCAGTGTGTTGCAGCCATGGGCATGCAGGGCTATTAAAACTGGTGGTAATAGGAATGTTATTTCCAGTTCAAACTTGAATGTATTTTAAAGTCAGATTCGTAAATCTACCGAATTTGTTGCAGCTGAAGTGTTTTGTGGTCATTTTGGGTTGGTTTTTTTTCTTGACATTAAATCAAAAGGACTAGTAAAAACTTGTCGGGCTTATGAGAAGTTAATCAATTTCCAATACAAAGACAGACAAAGGGAAATTTCCATCTTTAGAAGATTGATCTTGGAAGTTATGGTTGATCTCACTCTTATTGAACACTTTTCCTTGCCAGGTGAAGGGTCATTTTCTTAGCGTTATTACTTTAAATTGCTTCAATATAATGAGCCAGAACTAGAATAGTAAATAAAAGAGTCCCTGTGCTACAGCAAAAAGCTTTCCTGCCTGGAAGATGCAACACTTCAGCAGTTTTCTTTGCGTTCTACAATAAATCAGGAGAACCCAATATGTTTGTTATGCTTAGGTCTGATTTTGGCTCTTTGCTAACTTGGATGTATGACTTCAAAAGCTCTCACCATTTTTAACGTAGAGGGTGTGAAATATTTGCAATACATAAGAAACAAACTGTCAGGGGCTGGAAAAACACTTCTAGTGTTGAAAATACCATGCATTCTTGTAGTCCTAAAAGCAAGGAACACCATTTTGGCCTTACCTCCAGAGAAGAAAACCAGACTTCCCTTGTTTTCACAAAGCAAATACATAATGATGTATATGATAAATATATCTCGCCCCAAAGGTCATGTAATGGAAAACCTCTTGGATGAGCCAGAATGGGGGTCTGTAGCTGTACATTTCATGTAAGATTTCCTGTTCTCTTTGCTACAGCTAATGAAGGAGGAGGACCTGGAAGATGATTTGTTGGATTGTAGCCTAGAAGACCTTCTCCGGTTTGATGATTACAACAGTGATGGTCACTTAACGCTGCAGGAGCTCTACACAGCCTTCCGTGAGTCCTGAGGCTTTTGTCTCTCCTGGGTGTTGAAGACGTGAATATTTGTGATGGCAGCATTGCTTTCCTAGATACGGTCAGCAAAGCTAATTCCTCTTTGTGTTTCATGCAATGGAAACACTATGTAAGGCTTGTTCCCAAAGGTTATTGTGCTCCAAAGGATAAGCGTGAGCTCGGAGTTTGCTTGAGGTGTTTGAGGCTTATTGTTTTCTTGTGGATTTTGTTGTGCTCCTTGTTGATGGCAGTGGAGAGATGTTGGTGCTCTGGCCAGGTCTGTAGACCTGAGTATGTGGTTTCTGAGTAACCCTGAGGATATATGGTGGTAACCTCTCTAAATGTCTTCCGGTAATGTGAGTGTTTGTTGTGGGGAAGGTGTTTTACTGAATATTCTGCCTGGGAATGATGTTTTCCACGTTTTGTTTCCATGTTACTGGATTATGTGCAGTCTTGATACATATCTCAGTACCATTTGCAAGGATCCCTAGGTCACCAAGCTACTAAGTGTGCAAAAATAAGTACTTGTGTCATCCCATTTATTCTCGTTACTTTATGTTCATGCTTTAAGTTAAGCATTCATTGAAGTCCTTCCCTGGAAAAGGCCCATGTTGTCTCCTTCTCCTGGATGGCAGACAGTTTGATTGATGCCTGTCCCTTTGGGAGACTAAAAAAGAAAGGCAGAAAATGTGGGGTTTTTTTCAATGATCAGAGCTACCCAGTACTTGTATGTGGTTATTACTCTCTAAAGAAAATCAGGGTTCAATTGTTGGAAGTGTTGAGTACAGGCCAGTGACAAGTTGATTGCTTCTTAAACTGGACTCTCAAACTTTTGTATGTGGCATTTATAGAATCATAGAATAGTTTGGGTTGGAAAGGACCTGAAGATCATCCAGTTCCAAACCCCCCTGCCACGGGCAGGGACACCTCACACTAAACCATCTCACCCAAGGCTTCGTCCAACCTGGCCTTGAACACTGCCAGGGATGGGGCAGCCACAGCTTCTCTGGGCACCCTGTGCCAGCGCCTCAGCACCCTCACAGGGAAGAGCTTCTGCCTGAGAGCTCATCTCAGGCTCCCCTTTGGCAGTTTAAAGCCATTCCCCTTGGCCTGTCCCTACCTGCCCTTGTTGAAAGCCCCACTCCAGATGTCTTGTTGGCCTGCTTAGATACTGGAAGGCTGTTTAAAGTGCTTTAAAATTGGCCCCAGTTGTCACCTTGGACCTGTTTGAGCCATATATGCGTTTAATTCAACACAGCACACTCAAAACAGGAGATATACAGTAAAACATAAAACCTCATGCATTAAGAAGGCCATAAAGTGAATTAACCCTGCTATAAAGGCTTGACATGCAGTTACTCGGAGCATATTTGGATCAACGGATTCTCAAAGTCACAGCAACTTGAAGCTGAATTCCAGGAGTCATTTGTATGAGGTTTTGGTTCAGTGAATTTTAAGTAGGCAATGAAAATAAGACAAGTACAAAATATTAGCCAGAGAACAGAGATGGTAATCAATAAACTGCAAAAATACTGTAACAGAACCCAAGGCGTAACAATGAGTGTCTATCAAGAGGATTTCAGGTACGAAGAGAATTGTTCTTCATCTGAAGCTGAAAATCAGGCTGACTAGTACAAATTTCCTCAGAATCTTTGCCTTTATGTTAATGGCTTATCAGCTTTCAATTTAAAAACGAAGTTGCTTGCTTGGAACTTCCGAAATTTTGGGGAACTTCAGTTGGGTGTAATTTATCTTTTCCCTTTGTTACGTGATGTAGGAAAAAAACCCTTCAAAAATACTTCAAACACTTGTCTTTAGCACACACTTTGAGTGCTTATGAAGATTGTGCTTTGCTATAAGCTAAAATCAGGCTTGTAAGAGCAGTTTAAGGGTACAACGTTCTGCACATCTTTCCCATTTTTGGCCTATTCAGGTGATGGTTTTGTTGCTTGAAATCCACCCAAGCTGCTCATTTCTGCATGCTGGCAGCAGGCTGCGGGGCTGGCTGCTTAGCAAGCTGAGGAACATAATGGCCAGCATTCAGTGACATCAGAAAGTCTCAATCTAATTTATTCTCTCAAAGCCTCCATCACATCTGTTTGGGTGCACTGTGTTCTGGTATAGTGCCGCAGTGTTGGAAAGGTTTGCGGATGACCTTGGCAACATGAAGAGCTTCCAATTTGTCATTCTGTGCTGCTTTAGACGTTGTATTTTGTTTTAAAGAGTCTCCTGGCCTCTCTGTAACTTAACAGAGCCACAAAATGTCTTTTTCTCACTCCGTCTCTTGCTTTCTCTTGACCTATTGTCTCTTTCCAAGACCCACGGAATTCAAAAGGCATTTTGATCCCTCTTCGTGTTGATCAGTTGTAAATGAATGAAAAGTGCACGGATGAGATAAACCCAACCTCTTACCTTTCCTGAAACTTGGTTTCACCCTTCCAAGCAGTGCGTGCAATAGGTGCTATTTTTAATACTCATTTCTACTCATGCTAACCATTTTCACACACATCTGAATGCACAGCTTTGGATTATGGACAGAAATAGCATCCCACCTACCAACCCTATCATCTTTCTTCTGATTTTCTGAAAGTTCTTTTGTTTCTGAACACCCAGAATACAATTTCTAGGAGCCGCTTGTGCGTATGAGGATGCCTAGAAATATCTATTAACACAGACCTAAGTATCACTGTTCGAATTGCCTTAATCATACATAAGTAATGCATGAGGTGGATGAAATGCTCTCCTGGCAGCTCTGGCAAGAACAACTTGTAGGTGTCTTTAATTTCTCATTAATAAATGTTATTAGATAAGCAGGCTCAGGGCCATAATTAAACAGTTTTAATTGTTTAATGGTGGTCTCAAGATTTTCACATTCTAAAAATAGAGCACTAGCAAATATATTTGTCTGTTGTCATTATATTGTCACAAAGAGTCACTAAGTGAGTAATAAATGAAAGGCTTAGTTGTTCTAAGAGCTAAAGCAGAGCATGCGTCTAATTAATCAGCATGAAGATAGTCTGGTGAATTGGCAAGCACATACCCAGCTGAGTCATACTTTAAATATGCTCAGATGAGTGATTTTTGGATATGACTCCTGGAGCTGTATCTGACTGGAGGCTGTTAGAATTAGACATGTCACTTTTGGCATTGCTGTTGTCTTCCATAATGGGAAAGTAGCAGGTTGGCAGATGTGACAGCCTAGCTGAAGGAAGAAAAAAATCAGTGTATTCTTCTAGATCTATATTATCAGCAATGTGGACAGGTCAATTTGTAATACAAATATATCAAAGGGAGGGGAAACATGCGTTCCATCAAAATGGTTTTATCTTGTCAATATTGTTTAGCTAATAAGAAGTTACTAACCCTGCGATAAAATCCCCTTGAATTCTAGCTCATTGCCAATTAGAGCATTCTCCTAACCAACATCCCTGGCTCACCGCTTCACTTCGCATTTCATTACGGTTTTGAGCAACCCCGTCTAGTGGAAGATGTCCCTGCCCGTGGCAGGGGTTGGAACTGGATGAGCTTTAAGGTCCCTTCCAACCCAAACCATTCCATGATTCTATTTCACTAGGTCAGGTTGAAGTTATACCCCAAGATACTCCCTCCATCTCCACACCGTCGTGGCTTTGAGATCGCTTTGCATGCCCTGTGCTTCCCAGTGTGGCCCGTCAGGTCTGCTCTATCACACGGATTCTCATAGCTCTGCAGCAACATTTTGAGACCCTTGATGTCCTATTTGGATCACAAAAAAAAAAAACAAACCACAAAGGTAGTTTTAAAGAAAAACACTGAATTGTTATTTTTCAGTCCAGTTGTCATTTCCCAAGCATTTATGCATATATGTTGCATGTAGGCAGAAAATTGCTGTTTCTCTAAGATGAGAGACATGTCATCATCTATGGATATGTTATTATTTAAAGAACACAAATATTGTTTGGAAGGAGCATATTTCAGCAGGTGGTGTTGGACTGGCTCCAGATTTATTGCATTCATCCTAAAATCTCCGGTGGCTGTATTCCCCACCAGGCAATGCACAGGAGCGAGCCATCCATTGCTGACCCCTCCAGGCATCCCCAGAGGCTCCTTAGGAGTGTGGAGTAGAAACCAGATTTATTTTTGAGGTGTGCATATTTCTGATTTGCTGGAAACTACTTTAGGGCAGAGCTTTGTAATTGTTCCAGAAGCGTGGAGATTGATGCTTGCTGGGGAAAAGCTGAGTTCTACCTTGAGGAAGAGGGAATGAAACCTAAAGAAGGGCTATTGGGTCAGGTGGGAGAGGGAGCTGTTGGGTTAGGAAGGAAGCTTTCAGCAGTATATCTATTCTTGGTAGACATCACAGCTTAAGGAAGGTGATAATGAAAATGAATATCTGTATTGGATAAAATATGTCCATAATATGGGTTCTCCATGTGCATCTAGCAAGCCAGCTGTTCCAGCAGAAATTGCATCTGTAAATTCCATGTTCAGATGAAGCATTTACTCACACCTTTTCAAATCTGTTCTCCTTGATGGCAGATGGGGTTGGGTATTTGTTACTGCTCCCTTCCAGCCAGATTGGTCAAGCCCAGTTAATGATATTAGACAACTATATTGTGAAGTAGAATTTTTTGCTTGAGGTGTTCTCTTAAGCAATACTGCAGCAACACTTATCTGCAGGATCAAATCATAGTCCTAAAATATTGACGATTTGTGTACCATGCTCTGCTTCTTCAGCTGTAATCTCCCTGCTATGTGATTTTTCTTTCGTGTTGCTGCAGATACTGGTACAAACTTGGAAATAATTCATTAGCTTGCAAACATTGATTTGCTTCGGTGAGCTATGTGATATCTAAACTTCAAAAACGGGGAGCATCAGCCTCTGCTTTCGGTTTGAGGCAGTGTTAGAGGTGATGTGAACTACTTAGGGAAAGAAATGAGGTTTCCTTCAGTTGGCCAAAGCAGCCCATTCCTGCTCGCCTGGAGGAATGGCGTGGAGCCGTGTTACTGAGGAGGAAGTGAAG